ACCACATTGTTACCTCAAGGTAATAGTCCTCAGAGGCTTGTCCTTCTTAGTTTTACTTTTAATTTAATTCCAAAGAAACCATGCTAATCTTTTAATAATGCAAATTATATTTACTGTAACAGGCTTTAATTAGTACCTCATATAACCTGATTTGCAAACCGACTACCATACGTTTTGTTCAAATAAAATCGAGACCGGTGATCTTCTGTAAGCAGAAACTGAGCTTATCTTATTTCTGACATGATTAAAGGTATGTATCTTTGTGCAATGCTCTCCATACGGCATTATTTTATAAACGAGGTCAAAACTCAGCTTCAGACTGATTTTTCAACTGAAGTGATACAGAGCAGCGCCAAAGAGACTGACATCGCCTGGTGAGACAGGAAGCTCAGCTCTTCTCAACATAAGATGGTGAATACAAGATGTTTATTTTTCTCTTTATTCCTTACACATCACATAGATTTGAAAAACAATCACTGAAATTATACTTATTTCTATATTCATTTAGATATATTCTGGATGTCTATTTTTAGCAGTGAGCACTCAAAACACAATTTCCCTTTGCCCTTTTTTGAAAACAGATTTAACTTCTTCTTCTTTAACACTTCTGATTTCTTTATTGTGTCCAGCTCCTACTCAGTTGAGCCCAGACATGCAGAAAGGCAGTTATTGCTCTTAATAGGCCAGGCATGACAGACATGCTTAGAATTTTAAAAAAATCCTTCAGACCAGGAGCCAACACTACAGTGAGAGAGATAACTGCCCATGAAACAGCTTAGGTGAAATTTGCCAGTGCTGTAGAAAACCCACAGGGCACATTTTGTTAGTTAAGATAAACCCTTCAAAGAGACAAAATATTTCAAAAAGGATTCTTACACACTACCAGCATCAGATACACATTTTCCTTCAAGCTTCCTAAGCAATATTTCTTTCTTTTATTATGTATTTTATGCTTTATTATTTCAAAGGTAGGTTATGTTTAACTGTATACGCGACATTCATTTAACACGGCACTTTTCATAGTAGGAATATACATCTGAGAATCTCAATTCTGCTGTGAATTGTAATAAACTGTTGTATGTTTATTAAATTCATTGCCAGCTTGGCATTCCATTTAATCTGATCAGATGACAAGCATCATAAAGCAAAAATGTTGTACATTTTCAGCAAAGAAATTCAGCATGTTTATGCACTTTCCTTGTTTTATGGTGATAATCTGCTTTGTTCACAATGTAGAAAAGGACAGGAAGTACTCTATTAAGCATATCTGCGAGGCATGAAGCAATACATCTGGGTCCACTTGAAACAGCACTACTTATGGCAAATATCAGAGCAAGCTGATATAAGCTGAAATAAGGCAGTGATAAAAATTTCAGAAATGTAAATGTGCCTGCTTGGGCGTGAACAGGAATTCTGGCTTTTAGGTGCCTGCATTTTGGATGTAGGATATATTTTTAATCTAAGATATTTTCTTTGAACTCAGGCCTAGTCAAGCAGTGTCCAGTACTGTAGCACTCAAACTGAGTTATTGTTATCCTGTAATCAGATAACTCACCCACGTATCCTACATGTGCACAGCTATGCATGATCTTGAGTACCTGGAATTTGTTGAGTCTGCCTGCAAACACGCAAGGGACTTTGACATTAAGAAAAAGCCAAGCCCCTACACATTCGCCCTATTTGCCAGTACTGATGAGCCGATGCAGCTTTTCTTACAATGAATTCTGGTTGTTTTTGATATTTTTAGTCCAGACTTCATATTTTTAGGAAAACCTGAATTTAGTTTTCCTTGAAATTCAGAATATACCCACCCTTGTCTCAACAGTATGATTCCATATTATTCAGTGTACAGCTGCATGAAGCTCAATGAACAGATTTTCAGGACAGATGCCTTGAAAAGTCAATTATTTCATCTTCTCAATGTACAGTGATCTTGGAATTAAATTAATTCCTCATTATCCTGATGTTTGAAGACATGCTGACAGTACACTAACAACATTATGTGGGAAACACTTCCCCTCTGAAAGACCTTTTTGAGCATGTCAGAAGCCAATAGCTTCGCCGAAGAGAGATACCCAGGTCAGTGGCAATTACAGTAACCTTTTCAGAAAAAGATGAAAAAAAATGCTGCCTAACTTGTTTGCCTCATTGTTTCTGCCTACTGGATCCGGTCTCGCTTTTCAGATTAATTTCACTGTTAACATAATTATTTCCTGTTGCAGTCTGTAAATGAAGCTTCCCCACAGCCATTTATGAGAGAAAAAACTAGTTATGCTATAAATGGAGCCATGTTGTGCTTATTGGATTGTACATGTTAACACTAATGAATGTAGTGAGGAAAGATCTTGCTGGCTAGTGTCTGAGTCGTCAATAAAACCCTTGCTGGTGTCTGTGAGCACTGGACTTACAGACTCCTTTTGGAAATGAAAAGTTTGTTTACAAAATCATTCAGGGTTTATGCAGTCTCTGTAGTTCATTTGCTTTATGGCAATATGGTGTTTCGACTGTACACTCTCAAATCCCCTGCTTTAACAAAACCATTAACTAGCTCTTCTGCGGCTTCTCAAAAAGATGAAATAACACTAAGGGTAGTGATGAATAGAAGTGTTGTTTTTTTTATCAAAGAGAAAAAGTAAGAACTAGAGGGGACAGTTCTAAGAAACACAAGTAGGGCTTTTGTAAAAATCTGCTGGATCCCTTTAGGGCACCTCTCTAAATGTAAATTGAAAAATCTGATTTAGATTTTCTTTACTGTTGTGAAAAGCATGCATGAATAATAGACTTCCTCAAAAAAAGAAATTTTTATTGAAGCCGCTGCTTCAATAATCTGCTTTTTAAAAAAAGTTTGCCTCGCGTGTTTGAGAAAATCTTTTCCTTTAGGTCAAGTAAGTTGTTCTTTCTGCTTTTGTTACTATAATTACAGCCATATTAAACGTCCAGGAAGACAAACCTTGTACAAAGGCCTTATAGTGCAGACTTTCACTGAGGAAGTCAGTTAGCCTCATGTTCCTGTTCTCTGATTTAACCATGCCGAATACATTCAGACGCTACTCTTAATGCAAGTGAATCAGCATGTGACACAAAAAATACATATCTTAAATTGGTTTCCTAGGATTGTGATGCCATTCATACATGTATTCAAAACCCATGTAATACTACTACTTTAAGAATATGAAATTGTGTATATTGCTACTAGGAACATTCCTAGTTGATGGAAATTTGTGGGGTTGGTACTTTTAAAGTACAGTACCCGTACTAGCAGTGAAATGAATGTTGTGATCCCATCTGCCATTTCTTGGAAGTACTTTGTAAAGCATATGGTGCCTGTCAAGGATTTGTGCTAGGGATGTTAAATAAAGAAACTGAATGAATAAAGAAATTAATTAATATATACAGTAACTACATAATGGTCACCTTCTTTTACTGTATTTACCAATTTAAAATGATTTTTTAGTAAAATAAAGCATGAGCTTTCAATTACATATGAAAGTAATTGTCTTTGTCTTTAATTATACTGGAGATAGGTGAAAAGCACCAAAGATGAATGAAATGCTAGATTGATAGGGTTGTAGTCACTCATTTCATCTTCTTGTCAACTTGTTGTTCTACCAGTGTTGATCCCTGACATAACTCTCTAAGTCTAATGTGAGATTTTACAGTATGTAGGCAGGTCCAGGTTCTTTAAACATTTCTTTAAAACAGATGTTAAAGGTACCATGCACTGGATAATTACAATCTAATGAAAAGCGAGCATTAGTAAAATACATCTAAATTTCAGTTAAATAAATTATTTCATCTGTTTGATAAGAAACAACTTAAAATATTCAATTTGTATGATATCTTTAACAACTAAATATGTCTGTTTTCCCAATTTACTTTTTTTCAGTTTATTCTTTGACACCACACAGTATATTTAACCACTGTCCAAAGAGAAAGACCAAACCCACGTTATGTGAGATCAAATCATTCAGAGACTGAAGTTAACTAGTCTTTGACAGACTGTGAATACTAGAGAAAATTTGTTTTTTATTAAGACACGCACTCAAACCCATTGGTATTATACCACCTAAAAATCCACTCGTGCAGTTCCAAAGTGTTCAGTTTGTATGTTAAACTTTCTCCTACAACAAAACTTAACTCCTCTGCAATTTAACACCAGAGAAAAAAAACTGATTTTCAGCTGAGCAACGTATTTCACCACTAGAGGAAATCCTAATGTCTTGCTCTCTAATAAAGCAGACAATGTCTAAAGAAAGATTTACTTCTTCATGAATCTCCCCCAGACTCAGCTCTTTGATCTCGTTTCTCTGTCTTGTGCTTGTGCCAATCAATGTCATTAAAGAAGGGGTATCCTTTCAAAGCAATTCAATTTAAGCTCCTCGGCTGCAATGCAAAGTATTCAAAACAGTTCAGCAGAGTGATGGATCTACGTCCAGCTACTGCTTAAATAAAAGACAGCTGGAGTTGTAACAAGAATACAGGTAATTAGTTTTGGCTTCATCTGACAGACAACTAGACTGAAGTTAATGTTCCTCTCCTTTGACCGTGGTAGAAAGCAATGCTAAACAGTAAAAGAAGCCCAACCCACTCTCATCTACTAAAACAAGCCTGTCAAGGTTGTGAAAGGATAAGGTAGTTCCAAGACTGCTTTAATAATGCAGAATTAGCTCATTACATTTCATGTTGGAAGTAAAAAGAAACTCAGGCACAAAACAGATCTTGGTCTGAGAAAGAAAGTGTACTAAACAATAGATACTTGGACAGGAAGTACTGGAAGAAGCACTGGATAGGTTGTCAAGTTTTAATTATTCATTCTAACTCGTACTAAACTTCATGATAGGAACAAAACCATTGTTTTTTTTTAGGAAAAATGTCAGAAGCAGATTCCATTAAGAATAAGAAAAGTTTTTCTTTAAACTTTTAACACTAAACGTTATTTTTTTTAAGCTGGTATGCTGGAATCAATGAGAAGGCACGCAATTAAGATGTCTCGTACTTACCGTTCAGTCCCCGTTTTAAGGTTTTGGGGAACAGAACTCAGGCACGCAATCTCACTCCCAGTCACTTCCAATCCATTTGTGTCTTCACCACTGCTGTGCTTCCCATTGGCTGCGCTTGTTATCCTGCTTTCATTCTTTGGACAGTCAGGTGCCCCCTGCTTCTCAAGATTCAGGAGGTTCAGGTAGGACTCGGTGCAGTCCACCTGGGTCATATGGACAGGGGTGCTCCCTGGATCACCAGCTGGAGTGGAAGTGATGGGCATATCAGGTCCCAAGCTGTAGTTCTTCTTCAGGTTTAGGGAGAGCGACTGTGCTGACACAGAGTTCCACCTGGAGCTTGTCTCGTCTGAATTAACAACAAAAACACGAGGTTACAAGCTCAAAGTCCCCACCTCAGCTCTCCCCAAGCACAGGTTTTCTACATTGTAAGGAGCGTCTTCTAAAAACAAGCCCTGGGCTTGGCACTACAGAGCAGTGACTCTGTTTTGTTCTGAACTCTTGGTTCCTCTACAGTAGAGTGTTCTTAAACTATGGGTCAGGACACAGACTGGTTTGTGAACAGCATATCCATAAGTCACAGCATTTGGCCACAACATTTTGGCGGGTCAGAGCACATGGGGAGCTGTGAACTTGATTTTCCTAGGATGATGAGGTGAACTCTCTTGGCTGAGTCAATCGCTACCTGACCGTGGGGAAAAGGCTCTACGGTGTCCCTCGCTGTTGTGAGGAATGAGCCAGGGAGCCGCTGAAAAGGGTAATGATACTGTAAGTCACTGAGAGTGAAGAAGAATGAATGGTACTCTGAAGGTGACATATTCAAAAGTAGGAGAGTGGAAGTGGGTGAAATCAGTACTCGACCTCCTCCTGAACTTCATACTTCCCAGAGTTTAGCAAAACTGTAGGTTACTACATCTGAATGAGGCTCATCCCAGAAAGGCCACAGCAGTTAAAAGGCCTCAGATTACACCCATTAGACCCTCAGATTAATTCCCACATGTTTATATGATAAACAATGTACGATACAAAAAATCAAATATCTTACTTAAAAGGATTCAGAATATGACTAGAATAAAAACAAATGAAGTCACAGTAATTTTGTACAGTAGGAATCAAAGTTTGCCAACACATGAATTTGCCATTTTTTTTAAATACGAATGCAAATTGAAAGGGTGACTTCTGAATCTTAGTTCAGGGGGGAAATCAGTTAAAACATCACAGTCTACTTTCTACAAGAATATCTATTTCTTCTTAGTACTTTTGAAAGAGTTGTGTGTTATTGTTCACATCGTCTTAGGATACAGTGTTAAACCAACAATTCAAGATTTGTGCGAAAGGGACTTACAGTTGCTTGTTTTCTGGACTTTGACTTCAAGGTCTTTGAGCTGTTTGACCAGCAGAGCCACGTGCTGCAGGAGATCACGGTTCTGCAGCAGAAGCTGATGGACACGGGCCTGGGCCTCAATGCGAGCCGTGGTCTCGGCTGACAGCTGGTCCCTCAGTAGCTGTACCTGCACAGGGGTTAGGAAAGCAGTGAGAGAAGAGGACAGGGAAAAGCCAGCTGGAGTATGTCACAGGTTAAGGAAATACCTTTTGGGAGTATCAGCATTTGTAAATTTAGATGTTATAGTCTTATTTTGTTCTAATCCAGTTGAAGAGGTACTAGAAAATAATCTTTACATGCTTCAGCAGTGTAGGACAAAAATAAAATTCAACTTAGAAAACAAAAGATTGCAGTCATTTTAAGTAGGTTTCATTAATCTTTTGACTATAAATCATAACGATTCATGTACCTTGAAATGGGAGTAATTGTGACTGCAGAACTTCTTTTTCTAATTCAAATTGAATACACTACACAGATCTGCAAGTGAGTTTAAATTGTATTGTCATGTTGGGCTTCAACTCCTAATTGCCAGTAAAAAAGGGAAACAGAACCTGGGGATATTTCAGTGTATTTTTATCTGCAATTTTCCGCCATTATCCCAATAATGCTGTGCTTTTCTGGTCATTCTTTTTCAGTCACTGCAGTGTATGCAAAGTGCTCCATCTAGTGGCACACAAGACAATGTATAATCAGGATTTTCATTAAAACTACAGTATCTTTCTAAAGAATACCAATCTTGTGATTCCAAAGGACTTTATTACTTAGGATAGTAAACATACTTGATCTTATTATGATTACAAGCGCACTGGTTCAAATTACATTGCTAAAGACCAGATAAACCTGTGCTTTTGCTTTTGGTGTCTTATTTATGCATTTATTCATTGGTTTGCTCATTCGGATAGAAAATGAAGTCACAGCCACACGCTGTACGTACAAAGACTTGACTAGGCTCAGTCAGACAACGCACAGCTGGGCTGAAGCTGATAACTTAAGAAGCCCACTAATAATAGAACTCTTCCAAATAGTGGCCTGTATGTGAATGAGTTTTCTTTTCTAATGACAATTCCAATGAACTTTTGAAAACACGATACATCGGGTTTCTGCAAGCCAATTTTAACAATCCATACACCAGCAATTTTTTTTTATACTGCAATGAAGCTGGCAAGAGAAGATAAATATTTTATCTTCTGAAACACTGCTTAATCAGGATCAATATGCTTCTGAAATAAAATATGATTAGGACAGAATGAATGTCCTCTCTCATTCATAACATTTCTGCAGCTCTTACACTGTTAATTGTATTACCCTTCACCAAATGATTCAGATAAATTATCCCACTTGCAGCCTTAGTGCCCTCAATAATTATTTATTGAACTGGCTCTTGTCCTATTTCTGCCGTGCATTCAGACAGCTCTGTGAGAGACTTGAGGTCAGGCACCATACGCAGAGATGTTACACTGTGATCTTTCATGTAATTCTCAAGTTCATGGCTACACAGTACACCACTTCACCTTTCATTAACAAACAGTACACACAAAAGAAACACTGTTGTCACCCAGTTTCATATAAAAAGCTGGCAAAAGTCTTTTTTCTGGAGACTGATCTATTACTCATATGGGCTGAGTCAGTCAAACTAATTGCCTTAACACTTCTTCATACTTACTCGGTTTGAAAAATCTTTTTTTATTATTATTTTTCCAGGGAAACAGTCAGACTGAGTCAGACTGTCACAGTAAGGTGCCGTGACTCTTATTAAAACCAACCAGTGTAGCTCAACTGGTAAAGGCTGCTCACTCCAAACCTGGATTCAGTGATCCAGTTGTCTAATGATACCACCCAAGCCTCATTGTACAACTGGCTCAAGGCCCCCCTGAGGCAGGGCTGAATTTCGTTCTCATCTCGCAGCTCTCAGTGAAACCTCAAACCCTTTGACTTGGTACTCAGGTTCCAACAGGCTTGTAGTTCTGTCAGTGATGGATGCACCTCACTGCGCTAATATCAGCACTGAACCTCCTGTATATCACTACAGAGCTTGCCACACATAAAAGAGTGAATGGCTCAAAGAGACAGTCGAGCTTGTGTGCTTTTCCTCGGTCTCCTCAAGTGGGCACAGCCTTGTTGCTGTGAGTTGAAACATAAAGGCACATTTCACAATTTTAAATTGGGTGTATAGAGCACACGATAAAAAAATGAATTGGCAAATCTAAATATATAAAGAAAAACCAAAATAAATTGTAAATGATTAATCCTAATTTCTAAAAAAAAACTAAAATTTCCATTTCTAAAAATAATCCCCCATGACAATTCTGATTATGTTAAGATAATACATATTCAGATAATAAATATGATAAGCAGGTGCAGGTGTTCACAACTTTAATCTAGAAAACCTCATATAATAGGAAAAGATGGCTTTTAAATTGTTGCTGTTATTAGAAATAATACACAGCTGTAGGAAAACAGGGTTTACTAGTTCACATAGTTTTAAATATGATTTTTTTAATGGATAAGATGAATACTTTTTCCCTGATTTTCAGTGTTGAAAATAATAAGTAGATTATAAGTATGATAAACCGGTATACAAAATTAAACCTGAGTAAAGAAAACCTTATATATTACAAAAATATTTGGAATAATAAAAGGAAAGGATGGCTTTTAAATTATTATTAGAAATAACAAGAATAATATACATTTCTAAGACATATATCTATAGGAACATTGGGCTTACAGATTCATGTAGTCATGTCATTTACCTTACAGCTTTATACCATATGGTAATGTGAGAAGCCGGAGCCTACCCAGCAAGCAATGAGTGCTAGGCAGGGTACACACTGGATGGGGCGCCAGTCCATCGCAGGGCAAGGGCAAGCCAATCGTATATGGGGACAATTTGGAGGACAGGGTACAGGCTGAGGGGGGAAATTTGGCCCAGACACTGGGATAATTCCCTACTGTTATAAAGAAATACCCGGGGATCTTTATTGACCACCGAGAGTCAGGACCTTGGTTTAACGTCTCATCCGAAAGACGGCGCCCACTACAGTATAGTGTCCCCGCCACAATACCCGGGCACTAGGACCCACACAGACCGCAGGGTGGGCACCCCCCACTGGTCCCACTTACACCACTTCCAGCAGCAACCATAGCTTCCCAGGAGGTCTCCTATCCAGGTACTGACCAGGCTCCACCCTGCTGAGGTTCAGTGGGTTGTCATTTTAGAGCTGCAGGGTGATATGGCTGCTGGCCCAGATTCACTTAGTGTTAAATATTAATTTTGAATGGATAAGTTGTTTAGATGAACGTTTTTCCTGATTTCCAATGTTGAAAAGATCAAGCTCACATTACCTGAGCCACAGCCACTTGTGTCTGCTGCTGCTGCTGGTGCAGCTGGTGCTGGAGGAGCTGCAGCTGGTGCTGAGAAGCCAGGGGTGTCAGCTTAGGGGAGCTCTTGCTGCTGGGAGACATGACTGTGTACAGGGTGCACTTCTCCATATCCTGTGAAAGGAAAACACAAACTCAGAAGAGGCATGTGTGGGAAACTCAGGGTAATGAGCAGAAGCGCTAGACTACTGCATAATTCAAATATCTTCCGCTCCAATGTGTGACAGTTACCCTCAAAACATTAATCACTAAACTTGTAGAGTCTCCTGCAGAGCTAACACAATGAAAGGAACTGGACCAAATCATATGTATGTAATTACAGTATGCTACCAGCATCCAAGCAGAGCTGCCCAGTTCACAGAAGTATTAAGTTTATATTTTGTATTCCTCACCACTTAAAATCACCAGTTATTCTTCTCTTTCAATTTGACCTTGTCTTGGTATTTTTCTTTTCTATAAGTTGTCTATAAAACGTCATATTGAAGTGCACATGCCCTCTGTTACAACCCGAAATGTCTAGGGGTAAAGGGGTGTAACATTTAGGATAGTTTTTGGATGCAGGTGGGTTTTGGTGAGGGACTGAGCGTGATAACAAGTGTTGGTGCAAAAGTGATTATTTTAAGGTGAATAAGTGACTGGTACATAATAGGATACAATAACACACAGGGAAAAGATAACTAGGGCAGTGCCAAAGAAAAGTAAACAACAAACAAAATGGAGCTGGCTAAGAAAGTGAGGGAAAGCTAACCTAACTTCAAAAGAAAACCCGAAACACATGGTCTACAGCGTCTTAAAATGCCCTAGCTAACCTTTGCTGACTACCCAAAACCACACAAGACAAACGGCACGCACCCGTACTAATTAGTGTTACTAATACAAATATCACACAAAAGTTAACTAAAGTACACAACTGAACTAGGAATACAAATAAGGGAAAATGAGAGTAGACACAAGTAACAGGGTACAAAAGAACACAGAGTTTGATACGATACGTCTGGGCAAGGTAATGGCTAAACAAGGATAAACACAAACAAACGAAAAGTACAAGATGAACACAAACCAACAAAGGCAAAGATATATGAAAACACACACACAAGAAGCTAAACCGAAAGCGAAACGAAACCGAAGCTGAGCCGAGCGGGACCGAAGTCAAATGAAAGGCCCCTTCATTCTGAAAACCTCCAACTTATATACTAAATAAGCTGCACTCTGATTGGCTGAGAAGCTGATTGATGACGACGACACAGGGAAACAATGATGTAATGATGGACCAATGGGGGAGGGAGAACAATCAAGGTCAGGTAATGTGGAACAAAACACACATGGACCACACACTAGGACGTAACACCCTCCAACACTGGGAAGCACTCTTGCCATTTTTCATGCTTTTCAGCCTCTCCACTCTTCTAGTAGTGCCAGCACTGCAAGCAGAACTGATGCAGCTCTCAAGGATGACACTTTAAGCTCATAGGTGCACAGCATTTCATACTGTAAGGGCTGGTGATGCAGGCCATTTACCCATCCATCCATTTTCTACCCAATGCATCCAGTGCATCGTGGGGGAGCCGGAGCCTATCCTGGTAAGCAGCAGGCACAGGGCAGGGTACACCATGGATGGGATGCCAGTCCATTGCAGGGCACATACAGACACACCCAAACAGGGCCAATTTTCACAAAAGACAATTGAGTAACCAGCTTGTCTTTAAACTGTGGGAGCACCCAGAGGAAACCCATGCAAACACAGGGAGAACATACAAACTCCACAGATACAGTAGCACCCCACGCATTGAACCCATGACCCCAGCACTGTAAGGCAGCAATGCTAAACACTGTGCCACCCTGATGGATTTCAATGAATAGTACAGTAAATTGTTTTTTGGACTGAACTCAAAACCTGAACTTAAACTCACCTGCAGTTTTGAATGAGTGTGGAAACACTCAGGACACCTTTGCACTTGATTACGTTTTTAATTAGTCAGCATTATTGATTAATTTGAAGATGAATCCCTGCAATTAAACATTCTAATTTGGAATACACATTTGTATTGCAATTGTAATTACATTTATAATTTTGGCTGAAACACTGCATGGTAGCTTAATCCTAAATGGACAGGCAATTTACTTTGAAGTTGAAGAACACTTATTATTCCCTGTACTTCTTAGATATAGAACAGAACATGTTATTATTAGACTTTCAGTGACAATGAAAATGTTGTTAAGCAATGTTGAGAGAGCTCAGTGTGTTTCAGTGCGTTTCTAAAATAATCTCTTTGGTCTCAGTGAAACTAAGGTCAGGCATGCATGAGTCTGTGTTTGCTGAGATTGAACATCTCTCTTGGTTTGCTGCTGTCAAAATTGTACTCTGAAATAGAGCACAATTGATGTTACATGGTAGCAAAAAAAGGTTGTGCAGTTACTCAGGGGATATACAATCTTAATGTTGTAAAATACATGTTATGGTTTTAGAATATTTTGTTATGTCCATAAAGACATAGAAAGCAACAATGGTGTTTATAGTACAAGCAGTCTCGAACATTTGATACTGTACTCTGGATAGAAAAAAATGATTGTCATGCCCTGAAATGTACAGTATACCAATACTACTGCCAGTTTTTCACATGAGAATTTTACATATATCTTCAGTTTAATTAACACTGTTTAACATGTAGTTTAAGGTCAGTTTTCCCCATTACTCTAAACAGCTGTATTGTGTTAAATTTAAATTGAATTCTCAGTTGTGTATACTCTGTTTTAACATATTCAGCTGTCGTGCTCTTTTTCCACTATTGAAGGATAAAATGTGAATAGTTGTTAACAACAAGTCAGTGATTAAAACTGAGATGACAGATACAATATTTGAACTGAGATGACAGTTTTCTATAGTACATGACTTATAATAATAATAATTAATAATTGCTTACGCTTATATAGCGCTTTTCTGGACACTCCACTAAAAGTGGTTTACAGGTAATGGGGACTCCCCTCCACCACCACCAGTGTGCAACATCCACCTGGATGATGCGACGGCAGCCATAGTGCGCCAGAACGCTCCCCACACATCAGCTTTGAGTGGTAAGATGGGAATTATAAGGAGGCCATGACTGGTAAGGGCCAATGGGAAATTTGGGAAATTAGGGGTTACACCCCTACTCTTTCGAGAAACACCCTGGGATTTTTAATGACCACAGAGAGTCATCCGAAGGACGGCGCCTGTTTACAGTATAGTGTCCCCATCACTATACTGGGGCATTGGGACCCACATAGACCACAGGGTGAGCGTCCCCTGTTGACCCCACTAACACCTCTTCCAGCAGCAACCTTAGTTTTTCCCAGGAGGTCTCTCATCCAGGTACTGACCAGGCTCACACCTGCTTAGCTTCAGTGGGTTGCCAGTTGTGAGTTGCAGGGTGATATGGCTGCTGGCTTTATGTACAGTAGTTTGTACTTTGAGCTTTGGGGAAAAAATGTTTCAAAAACGTCAAATGTCCATTTAACAGGTAAGCCACAATGATTTAGAAACAATCCATAGCTTACAAGAGACAGGGACTGCATTAAAAAAAATAAACCTAAAATGTGCTGATAAAACAGATCTGTTTGAATGTCGTTTTATTATTATGGTCGTACACAACATTGCTTGCTTCCTGTAGAATTCTTATTCACTGTGTCTACTTGGGTTACACCAAGCGTGTTGGCTGTCTGTCCAATTTAAAACTAATAGCTTCGGGAGAAAGCTATGAATAGTATTTCAAGGTTGTATGACAGGGTAATGAAAAGATTTCATTCTGACCACTTTCAGCAGAAAAAAAAACAACCACCACCAAATCGCCAACATTAAGCAGGTTCAAAACCTAGAAAATTCTAAAACACTCCCTTACAATGAATATTTTTTTCTTTAGGTAAGAACAAGATATTTGAGGGCTGCTCTGAGGAATAACCCTTTCTTGCTGAAACTCTTTCTGGAGATAAGAAGTAGGAGTCTTTTAAATACAGTATACCCGCTAGCTTTGTTGTGCCTCATTCTAAATTTTGCGTCTCAGATATGTCAGGACTGTGAGGGTGCCTTACCTTTGTAAACAGACTGACAGCTTCAACAGCAAGTGGCTACAGCAGTGTGACAGCAACACAAAGGGCAACTCTCTTTTTCTGGTACACAGCAATGAACCACAATCAATTCTCAGGGGCCTGCTCTTGAAATGGCAGGTACTGTAGATAGGGAAAACTCTACGTGACTAATGGCTTGGGAAAACAGTAGTACCTCGAAAATCATGTGAGTGAGCCTGCACAAGGGTGTTTGTGCGCTACGCTGTGCTAGTACTGAAATATGAGTCCACAGTTTTTCACCAATTACAATCAAGCCTCTTTTCTCTAAGGAAATCTGAATCTGACAAATTGTAAATCACATAACTTCCTGAATTTATCTCCGTGCACAGTCCCAAATGCTAAATGATATGAGCAATACTTGATATTTTGTGAATGAATACGTTTTCATTTTACTTTTCCATTATTTGATGCAAAAGAGGGCGAATAATACAAATATATATTTTCAGAAAGTTAATATGGATAATAAGGACACCAGAGATCTCAATAAACACAGCTACTTTACTCAGCTCTATACTTTACTCTATGCAGTACTATGCAGCATAAATACTGTCAATTTATGACAGTATTTCTCTGAAAAACATCTCATTTTCCAATTAAAATAATGTGAATTATTCAGTGCAGAAATATTCTGAATTCATTTTATAACTACCATCAGAAACTAACTCTATTTTTTAACATAAAAATGAATAAGAATAAATAACCACCTCCGAACCCCCAAAGATTTGAAAATCACATATTCGAATTTTAAAAGGGCAAAGAGGCTGAATCACAGCTTGTGTGTGTTTGCAGTACAATTTCACCCAGGCAAAATAAATTTGAAAACTTAATTATCTTGACAGGCCTGTGCCATTTCTAAATTATCCCAAAATCCCACACGCTTTTAACTCTGGCAAATTGTGCTTCACACAGAGCGCATAAAATATGGCAGTGGAAAATGACTGGGGAAAAAACAAGATATTCTGAACTTGCTTCAGCCCCGTGAGAAGGAAAAACATTTGGGGGAGTCGTGTGTA